GAGGGCACGGCTGCCGCCTCGGAACTGCCGGCCACGGCCAAGTTAATCCCTGCTGGGGGAGGAACGGCCCACCGAACCAAATTGTAAATACATCTGTGTCCTCCTTCTCCCTGCCACACATTTAAATCTATTTGATCCACTCTAATGGATTGATCTACAAGTTTGTGCACACACATCCTGCTTTGGACGGGTCGGCTGGCAGCGCCTCGCCCATCACGACCTGTCAGCTCCACTCAGCCTCACCTCCGCCGGGAGCCACTGGGAATGAATCCAATTACAGGATAAAGGGTTTTCTTCCCCTCCATATGGTCTCTATAACACTCCGGCTTTATCTTGCTTTAACCCCTTTCCTGGCGAGGGAGCTCACAAGCCCAGCGTAAGCAGCTCAGCGCAGCGGCCACGCGTGGATGCTATCTGATATGGGGAAACGGGGTCTTTCCAGGGCAGCGGGGGGTACCAGGAGGCACCGCAGCATTTACCTGCCTGTCAGGTAAATGGAACGAGGAACGAGCCCCTCCGGAAGGGAGATTCAGGGCAGCACAGTACAAAACCAGCCAAAAGCACAAAAGCGAGCTCGGCACCGTTTTGCACTCGGCGTTGGTGCTCGTGGCCAAGGTTTGAGATCCTGTACGCTAGCCCACCACCAGAATTTAAGCACCGATGTTTGCTTCATGACTGATTTCTATTGCTTTTGCATTTCTCTACGCCTTGGTCTGCAAGTCATTCCCCGCCTGCCCTGCAGCAGGTCGCTCCTGTGCCTTTGCCCCAGCAGCAACGAAGGATGGGGAGAGCACCGCAAAGGGCTCCCAGCTGCCACCGCTCCGGGAAACCCACCTCCCCCGGCACATCCGCGTGGTTTGCTCTGCCTGTCGCTCGAGCCTGGTGAACCAACCGTATCAGCTCAGTGCAAGTCAGTTATTTGATTATAATTATCATTTCTTGCTTTACACAGGACATGAAAGCCCAGAGCAGCTCAGGGCTCCGTCACGCAATGTGCTGACAAACAATGAATAAGAGACAATCTCATCTCAAAGAGCTTAGCAAAGCAGAAAAAACCTGCAAGAAGGAAGAAACCCCTTTCTTTTCTTAAGGACAGACACAATGAAAGCAAGCCTCTCCTCTCGCATTAAACGGGGCCTGAATTTTGCTATTGCCTTCTTTGTCATTGAGTCAGCACAGAAAACAATTGAGAGCTCTCTGGGAGACAGCCGTAAGGTTTCCCTGCTAAGAGAACCCAAATTAAAGCCATCACTTTCCATTTCGGCGGCAGAGGCGCAGAGGGAACCGAGGTTGCATTCAGGACGCGTCCCGGAGGAACCAGCTATCCTCTCCGGTGTCATTTCCCTACGCTGAGTTTATTCGAGGCCTTCGGCATTGCTCCGGCCATGGCTGACCTGCGGAGAGCTCTAAATCCACCAGCCTCGAGGTGTCGACCGAAACATCGACCTCAGCTCGCAGGGAGAGAAAGCCGAGGCCACGAGGACAGCTGGGAAGGGACAGACCCCTGTTCGCTCGACAGAGGCGACGCAGGCTTACCTGCTCCATATTCAGCTCCCGGAAAGGGGAAGGGTCCCGGTCCAGAGCTCGTTGAAGGTCCAAGTCCTCTTGGTCTGGTTGTTGCAATCCTCTGTATGAAAGGTTTCTGGGCACCATGCATGAAGGCAAAGTTGCGCCATGGCTTAGCTGAAAGGCGGAGTGGAGAGGGTCTGTGCTGAGCAAGGAAAAAAATCTCTGTACAAAAAGTCGTGCTGATGCTTTCCCCACAGCCCAAACAGACTGTCGTTTCACCTCTTCTCCCCATAGCTGGGCTTCATTTGTACAACTCTTTACTCTTTAGGAGAAGACGGGACACGGCAAAGATGTGGCAGAAAGTCTCACAGAGATGGGAGATGAAAATTACTTTCTGGGAGATGAAAGTTAACTTTCCCATGAGATAACCGTGTCCATGTACAAAACCTCAGAGAAGCACCAGAGCTCTCAGCTGCTGCTGGCACTGACAGCAAGGTGCAAGACTTTTGAAGGTGGACCATCATAGTTAAATCTTTTAACTGAAAAGAGTTGCTTTCTACCATGGAAGTTTGGCAGGACACGCTGGAATTGAGATGCACACATGGTTATGTGTATTAGCATTTCTGGGTTCTCCTTTAACTAATTCTGCAAAAAACATGCCCAACTTTTGTACATCCAAAAGCATGACTACAGCCAGGAGAGGCATGAAATTCCTCCAGGGAAAGCTTTATGAGAAGTAAGGCCATGGGACTTCTTTTTTTTTTCTTTCCCTCGAGGAAGACCTAGACTGGGAATTTCATGACTGGTGGTTTCATGGACACGCGGTGAGATACTTCTGAGAGGCATGGACATCGCATCCTTGTCCCAAGGCGCCTGAGGCTGATGTGACCCACTTACTCTTGCCACGTCCTAGTTCTGCTCCTCTTGGACCTGTGCAGATGGATCAACAGGTCAGCGATTAGGACACCATTCATCCCACCCACGCCCCTTAGCCTTCCGCTCCTGCCCTCTAGCTCTGAGACACTCCAGTCTTGCAGAAGACCTCATTCATCCAGCAAGACAGCATTGACTTTTTCCATCCCCCCTTGTCTTGGCAGAGGGCAGCAGTGGGAAAGAGGCTAACAGCTTACCGCATTAACAGATCAGGGCCATTAACGCCACCAGATGTCAGAGATTAATGGAAGAGCTTCGCTAAGGCGCCTTAGGCAGGTCTCCTGGAGAAGGAGAACCCATGACCCAAGAAGGAAAAAATGGGGAAAGAGCTTGGGATGGAGCGTTGGTGCTCCAAGCTGGCACTGACCCTGCTGAGAAGGGTTTCACGGTTTCGAGTGTGCTGGGGTGGGATCCTGCACCCCAAACTGACTGTTAAGAGACTGGGAGAAGCTTCTTTCCATCCCCCTTGCTCTCCAAGCATGGCTACAGGCTGGTGCTGGTCTCTGCACTGTCTCTGGAGGGATCCACCAGGACATCAGCATTGCTGAAGCTTTACCTTCCCTCCCCCACGGCACTCGGGCTCTGCTTCTCCAGCAAGCAGTGGCGCTTTGTCAGGCCGGTTTTAGAGCCGTGGCTAAGGACCCTTCCTAAACCCTGACAATCCTTGCAAAGCTGCAACCCAGACCAGCGTCCCACTTGCTGGGATGGGGAGGAGGCTCGGGTGGGAAACGCTCACCAGCAGCTCCCTGGGAGACAGCGAGCCCCGGGGCTGGCTGTGCCCCATCCATCCCTGACGGGATCCATCCTGTCCTGCCAGAGATCCTTGGAGGATCAGCTGAATAACGTATGTCCTTTAGCCCAGAGAGCAGGCAAGGCAGCGGAGGAAATTCACAGTGTCTCTAGCACAACCAGGGTGCATGATCCGGGGTGTAATACGGCCAAGAGACTGTCCCCAGAATGCCGTATTTACCAAGACTGCAGACACTGCGATGGGAAGCGGCTTCCCGTCCTGCCTTTGCACAGCTCTGTGCACACGGGTGGCACTTGGCCGTGTCGGCAGAGCCCGGTTTTGCTCTGCGATGGAGACACGTGTCCATAGCAGGCAGCGCCAACGCCGAACCAGGCGCCCAACGCACAGAGCAGCCAGACAGCCAGAGCCG